TGTTTAGTGGTTGGGGTAATTAATTTTGGTTTGTCATATTTTGCTTGGGTTAGTTGCTTAGGTTGCCTTCCAAAAAAAAAAAAAAAAAGTTGCTTTGGGGATGTTCGGTATAGAGGTAGAAATTCAATAATTGGTAGATACTATATAAGCGGGTAACAGATATTGATTATATTGATTTTAATAATTGTGTGTTTATATGATAGTTAATGTTTTTTATTTTTTTTTTTATTTTGTGCCCTTATTGGTGATGGGTGTTTAATGTAAAATGATAAATAAAAACAAATTGAAAAAGTAATTAATTGTATGTCTTTTTACCCTTTTCATATCAAAATAATAATTATTTTTTTACTTTACATTTATCTTAAATTAATTATTATTTTTTAAGATAAATAAATATTTTTTTCCCACTTTAATCCTATCATAATCCATTCACTTTAATTAATTATACAATCACAAAAAAAATTTCTTTCTATTTTATTTCTTTTTTAAAGGTTATAAATATATATAAATATTGTCCACAAATTATTAACTTGCGTAAAAAATAAAAAAGTAACAATTATTTTAAAACAAATAGAGTAACACTAAAAAAATTTATACTTATTTATTATTATTATTATTATGTAATTACAAATTAAACATTTCTTTGTTATTTTTAATAGAAAAATTAGTTTCTCATTTTTTATATAAGACAAAAATTACAATACTTTTCTATTAATTAATTTGTAAGTATGACTTAGCAAATTTTTATTAAATAAAAAAATTAGTTGCCAACACATTGAATAACAAAAAAATAAATTAAATGAACAATTTAATGTTAAAATTGAATATAAAATAAAGTTAATGTAAAAAATGGAGGAAAAAAGTGGTGCGTTAGACTTGTATTTTATATTTAATTATTTTATTAATAAATTTGTTATAATAATTTAAAATTTTTAATCTATTTACAACTTGAAATAAAAAGCTACAGGGGAATTTTTTCAATCAAGTAGTAGATAAGGTTCCAACCATTAATAGCTATTATTAAATTATTAAATAAAAAATTTTATTA